CCAAAACCTATTTCAAGCCAGTTTATCAAAATTGTAGTGGTAGAATGCTCGTGACCTTTCGACGACATACTACTTTATAATACTAAGGAAAATTAGCATAATTCCCTTGGGCGAGTTCATATGACATGAGCAATTGACGCCAGGAGTAGGCAACCGATGTACCCGAGCAGGAAAACACAAGTGAAATGTTGGATGAGTGTATACTGCTCCTTTAAACGAAAAACCTGAGAAAAATTCAAAATCTTGATGTTTTATACGTTTGTAAGAAGAGCTCTTGTTCTGAAATAATGTGCTCTGTAATAGCGGTCTAGCGGAGTTAATGGAGGTTTTAATTATGAAAATCATAGTTATCTGCTCATCAAACTCTTGCTATAATTTCTATACAATAACGCGTAGGATGTTTTCATAAGTAAACGATAATAGGGTCAAAATCACCGATTGCGATATCCAAGATTTTAGGGTGATCATAAAAGAATAGGACCTGAGAAAATTGAGCGCATCATTCCGTAGTAGTAATAGCTTCCGACCTTACTTGACTGGTCGTCAGAACTCGATTTTTCTTTTCGCGTTAAAAACTGGAATACATTTTGTTCGCAAAACAATAATATTTCATTTGCTGTATGCAACTTCTAGTTATATGTTGATTTTTTAGGTGCATCTTCGAGATCTTGGCTCAATGAAGCAGCTATGCTGTCTACAGGTAAGGCTATTATCATCTGTAGGAGTAAGTAAGCACTTTTTACCAAATTGGGCAATCTTTTAAGCTCCTCTATCAAAGGTAATGTCCAGGCAAGACCCTTTCTGAGTTCATTATATTATCAGATGTCAGCCTTCTAGCTAAGCTAATTTTTGCTATCACCTAAAAGTACATGAAGGTGGGCGAAAAGTTTGTCTCGCGCTTTTTCTTATTTTTTATTCGACGTTCCTTATTTCCCGCCGCTGAATCAGAATTCTCTTCAACACGACCATGTCTGACTTCTCTCGCGCATTTTCTTTTAGCGAGAAAAGCAAGCATGAAATTGTGCTGCTGAAACTTGGCCCCGTTGTCCCGTAAAAATTCTAAAATCCTCGTTTTCCGATAATTTCATGTAACTAGAGCTTACACTTGTGGTTGGTGCGCTGAAAGCACCGTAAGTTGGAAAACTTGGGATCCTGAACAGTGCTTTTGAAGTCATGTTAGGATAACGTCATTATAACTGTTCTTCTTACTCTGTCTCATGCCATTCACCAAATATGGATTGCTTGTTTTATTCATGATGAAAAGCTTATTTCTTCAGTCAATTCTGTTGCTCATCTGTACATCTTCTGTCACAATAGCTTCAGTCGC